GGGAGAGCTGGGGAGGATGGACTTTTCACTTCTATGCTAGAAGTAGAGCCTGGGACACCATCCTGACCATGGCCAGCTGATATTTGCTTTGGGAAGGTGTCACGGTGTCACTCACCACACTGGTGCCTCCTGCTGGCCGTTTCAGAAATTAGCTCTAGTCAGCAGGTGTGCCCTCCAGTGGGCGTGGTTCTCCCAGCCTCGTCTCCGCCTGCAGACCCACCGCAGTTCCAGTCTCACTGCCTCTGCTTTGTGGCACAGCCCTCCAGCCATGTCACAATCTGGGTTCCCCCCTTCCGGGGGACTCCTTCCGCACCAGTCTAGCTGCTCTTTGCAATGGCTTGGCAGTCCAAAGCCTGGCCGCTTCTTCAGTGGCAAGTGGGGGGAGAAAACAAGGCCCGCCCACTACTCTGGGTCCCAGCCCAGGGACTCAGTAAACAACAGTTTCTCACTGCCCCTCCTTTCTTTCTCCACCAGTGTCTCAACCCCCTGGGCCACTTCTCCGCAGCCCCAGCACCTTCAGCTCCTTCGCCCTCTTTCCAGGGCCTTGGGCCTGCAACTCCTAGCAACCCTGTTGACGGTGCTAGTCTCTGTAGCCCTCTAGCCAGTCCCCTTCCTTGGGCTTCCTGCAGCACAGTCACTTGTTCTGGCCTGCAGCTTCCTTTTATAGGGGCCGACTGGGCCCTGATTGGCTGGTCCAGCCACCGTCCTAACTGGCTACAGCCACTACCCTAATTGGCTGTTTCCTTGCAGCCTTCCAGCCTTTAACCTTATTAGAGCCAGTGCGGAGCAGATGCCCCGTCGCAGAAGGAGCAGTGAACTTGTCTACCTTTACTCATGAGTTTGTGGCCATGTGGATCTGTGCTGTGGGGACACGCAGGCCACATTTACACCTTTGAGCTGAGTTGCAAATCCCCACCTTGGAGAACCCGGATGTGCCAATGTGATCTGGAATCCTCCTTCCTGGTGTCTCCGCTGCTGCTGGAAAACCACAACTTGTAAGCTGCTTTAAGCCCGTCCTTAGGTGCTTAGGACATTTCACGATTTGACTCACAGAGAAAAGAAATCGCTAATGTCGCAGGAAGAGGAGCGGAAGTGTGCATTAATCCTTGCTGCTGTATTGAGGAGAATGTTGGAGCAAGGAGTGGAGGAAGGAGGATAAAGGGAGCAGTAAGGAGGGAAGCTCAGGTGCAGCTCTGGAACAGGCAGACTGTAGAAGGAAGCAAGTTCCTAGCGGTAGCTGGAAGATGAAGCTAGAGTGCTTTAACTATGAGGAAAAGGAGACGCTTGGATTCATTATAGATGAGGGAGCAAAGTAGATGGAAATGTAGTCAGAGCAAGCAGAGAGCAAGCATTCTTGACCACCGCATTATACAAGCTGGGGAAGGGAGGGATGAGAACAGGGTAGAAAAGAGGAGGCTACGGTTATCAAGGCAAAAAAATCATCGCTGTAGAAGTATCCATAATGCTTGGCTGGAGAGGTAGATGGAAACTATCAGAGCAGGTACTAGAGTTTTGGCAGTAGGAATAGAGGAGAGAGGATGAAATTTAGAATTACTATAAAGAGAAAAGTGACAGTGTCTAATAAGGGTAAGTGTGTAAGAGGAAAAGGAAAGATTACATGGTCATAATTCCACTCAGGGTTCTAGTGGGACCAAGAACCAGAAGAGATAAGCTAGAAGGGTTTGTGTGCCCATTAGAACACAATCCTGGAACTATAGCTTTGTCACTGAAAATTTGCTTTTAGATTCAATTTTTTTATGTACCATCACCACCACCTCTACTGTTAATATTGTGAATGATAACATGGATCTGAAAATAAAATCCAATTTACAGAAAATATATGTGGAACAACAGTAAATTAAAATATATTTTCCTTCACTATACTGTTGTTGATTTATTAACTTTTCCCTCTCCTCATTTGTTGCGAAGTCAAAAGTGCTTGACATTTTGACAGCTGAATTTTATTGTTCTGTGGGGAGAAGCTAGCCAGAAAAAAATTCATATTCAGCCCTGTCTTTCACTGCCTTTGAATGGCACCCTCCTTTCTCTTTTAGGCCATTGTTATTCCTGTCAGAAGATTCCCATTGCTGACAGATACACTGTCACCCACATAAATTGTGGTGGCCCAGTGAGGTCACATCTGTGAATTCCGAGAAATCTTTTTCCAAATTGCACTTTTCATATACAGCATTAAAACCCTGTACTGGATAATGCACACATTTGTTTGCTTCTAGGAGGGAAACTATGCAACCTTGCAGAATGGAGACTACAAGAGTTAGAATGGGTCCTTTTTATTCTTCACTCAGGGCAGCAATTACAGATATGTAGGTAGAGTACATTGTAGAGTACTCCGGTCAAAAAAGTGGAAGGCGAGGAGATGATTGATTAATATACATGAAACTGAATGAGGAAACTCCAAATAATTTCTTCTCTTTTCCAATGCCCTTTGTTGAATTTTACATTGAAGCTATAGACAAGTCAGCTAGATTGCTAAAATGTCAGTGTTCCCTCTATCTAGAATTGAAAGACAAGAGACAACAGGTGGATTCGGAGAGGGGGAGTACAAGGAAACAATTTCCTCCAACCCTCCATTACCACTCAGTCTTATTTGAATTGAATTTCAGCAAGCCAGCCCTCATGGAGGTCCCATTCTCAACCGGACACTGCCTCCTCAAGATTCTTAATAATGTCATGACATAACTGAGTGTCATTGGCTCACTATACTTCATACTTTAAAGCTACTCTAACCGGGAAGGCATAGAACTGACGTACCCATCTCTGTTCCACCACTCCTCACAGCCCCTGATGGAGGTGGCTGGGAGGAAGGGAGCAAGGCTAGAGCATTAGCATGCTGCTCTTTTCGGGGCATATCCAGCCAGAATCATCCAGGATCTTGGAGCCACAAATGGATCTTTGTGGTCTCTCCTGCGTAGTTGCTCCCAGTGCACATTGGGAGAAGCAGATGACAGAGCCCAAAGTGCCAGGCAATGGAGAATCAGGCCTCATGTTTCTGGTAGATTTTCCTTAGACTGAAGAGTACTGAGGGCTAGTCTACACTACCCGCCCGGATCGGCGGGTAGAAATCAATCTCTCGGGGATCGATTTATCATGTCTATCTAGACGGATAAATCGATCCCCGAATCGACGCGCGTACTCCCACCTCGTCAGGAGTAAGCGCCGTCAATGGGGGAGCCGCAGCGGTCGATTTGCCGCCGTCCTCACAGCAGGGTAAGTCGAATAGGATATGTCGAATTCAGCTATGCTATTCGCGTAGCTGAATTTGCGTATCTTAAATCGATTACCTCCCTCCCCCAGTGTAGACCTAGCCTGAGACTGCTTTAATTTGCTCTGGGAATGAAACTGCCCCCTGGTGTTGGAAGAGCACAAAGGAGTTATAAAGCGAGCTTGCATCCCACACTCCTTGGATCCTGTGCTGAGCACAGCTCATCTGGAGCTGAGAATCAGGTCCTATGTCCTGTGCTGTTTTGTGAGTAAGATGTGCTACTTTGTCTTCTCCTTCTGAGAAATAAGGGTAAATACCCAAGTTAATGCAGTGGGAATTTGTTGAAAGAAAAATGACTGTTTTTAATGTTCCATTTTCAGAAAGGCTTTCTATTAGCATAATCGAAGCAGCATTTCAGAAAATAATGGGATACCATTAGTGCTCATTTGTGATTACAAAGATAAGGAAGAGGCATGCTTGGAATTTATTGTCTTGCAGAAAAATAAAAAAAATGGTTTGTATGAGACACTTGAAGATGATCTTTTGCAGTAGTCACATATACAATTTCAATGAGACATTGTGTCCAACTTTGCCTTTTTTTGTGTAATTTTTTTTAAGTGCAGACTTGTGTGCTGTAGTGCTCAGGTATTTTGTGACATTTGTGCCCTGACACAAGAATATTGGTTTGATGGATGAATACCGGTGGCTGAGTCAGTTTGAAAAGCAAATAAAGGTAATCCTACAATGTTTGTTGGGTTCTTTAGGTTGCTATGGATTGACTATTTGTAGAGATGAAACATCTGTAGTATAGCTGAAATGTCCCTGTTTTCATGGTGAAACAATGGCAGGGTAATGACAAAGTGTAAAAGAGCTTTGGGACCTGATTCTCATCTCACTGGAGTGGTGTGAATTATTAGTAACTCCACAGTTACTACACAGTTATACAGGAGTAAAACTGCTGTAAGATCAGAATCAGGTCTTTAATGTAACAAAATATAAACAATTCAAGTTTACAGATCAAATTACAGGTAGCAATATCCTGGTAATGTATGTTTTACATTTGGACATTTGCTGCTTCCTTTTTAAAATATACAACCATCCTCCCACTCTGTTAAAATAAAATATGCACATATGCATAATCATGACATGGTGATTCCCTCCATAGTACAAAATACTACAGCTTCTCTTTTGTGATGCTGCTATGAATATATTAATTGTTGATGTCAATAGATAATATTCCAACCTTAATTTTTGATAAATCCCAACCTAAAAATATTAGTGCTGAATAAGTATAACTTATTGAACATCTATTTTAAATCATGTTTGTATGCTAGGATTTTATCTGACTGGAATTTACAGATGTAAAAGCAATAGGATGTCTTTGGTGCTCATTGTTTCTGGACCTGAAAACCTGTACATGACATTTGGATTTCTGGTGATGGAAGCAGACTCCCAAGTATTTAAAGAAGCTAAACATTATTCTTTCTTTGAACAGGAATACATGGCTCTCTTGTAAAACCAAGTACCATCTATATATATTAATAATTATTTTGTATTCTAAAGTGATAGATTCAGTTCTCATGCTTGTATAAGATCAGATTTTACAAAGCCTTCTAAAAACTACTCCATTTCCAATTTTATTTTCTTAGATTAATGTTTAATTCCTGTCATACAAGGTGCAAATCAAAGGTTTTACATGGTAGCTAATGTTGGTAAGCCTTTTTACTAGTGTGACAAAATAGACTTTTAGTTGAATTTGTTCTAATCTTCTTTTCAGTTGAAAGATGTATGAGTGTAATGCAGTCTGGGACTCAGATGATTAAGCTGAAGAGTGGAACAAAAGGGCTAGTACGTCTCTTTTACCTGGATGAACACAGGACTTGCATCAGATGGAGACCGTCCAGAAAAAGTGAAAAGGCTAAAAGTAAAGTCTCTTAATATTTCTTTTAGTTGCTTGAACAATTGTGCATGGGAATATGAATTCACATGGTTTATAGAGAAAAACTGTACTTTACAGTGTGTATCTTTCAGATTATAAACTCTTATTAGTGATACTTGTAAATGTGATATACTTATAAACACTTATTGACCATTTTGCACAATAAATACATTGTGACAGGCACTGTGTTATTGCCAGAAAAAAATAACTTATTTCTGTTAATAGTAGCAATTTAGTAGCATGTTGGCATGCATGCACTGTACAGCACAAAGGCTAGTCTAACCATGTAGTAATATTTTCCAACAAATTACGTTATAGGATAGACCTGGAATAAATTGACCAGGAGGAGAAGACTGTTGGCCTTAGTACATTGTCCTCGTGTGGGAAGATAAGAACCTACAAGTAAATAAATCTTCTAAAATAGTCCAGATACTAGCTTAAATCTGTGTAATATCTTATACCCTGATCCAACTCCAGATTTAAAAGAAAAGCTACCAGAAATGTTAAGCTAATTTATGGAAATCCTTATTCTTATTAACACATTTAGTGAAAAGGCCACATCACATTTATTTAGAGCCAGATTCCACCTAGACCTTATGCTGGTGCACAGTGTGAGTAGAGGGTGTAAGTAGGGTGACCAGATGTCCCGATTTTATAGGGACAGTCCCAATTTTGGGGTCTTTTTCTTATATAGGCTCCTATTACCCCCCACCCCCGTCCCGATTTTTCACATTTGCTGTCTGGTCACCCTAGGTGTAAGGAGTGTGACGCATGTAAGAGCCAAGCAGATATCCAGTCCCTGCACTCTGTCTGTTTATAAACACTGCTTCAACTGGAGTTTGGAAAAAACATCCTGGAAATATTTCTGCTGGCTTAAGGTTTCATGACAGCTTGCTTGTGGACCAGATTGAATCTGACAGCATCAGGTGACATGCCTACAGCATGTTTTTGCTGTTATGTAAGAACAGATGGGACAAGCGAATTTGGCATTATTGAACCTTAAAGCGCAGTTCTGCCCTGAAAAGTGACTATAAAAATGGTACTGAGGGGTTCCACGTATATTGTCTCTCCTTGAGTGCTATTTAAAATGCACTAAGTTTCCAAGTGAAATTATGTGTCATTTCAATTGCCAGCCCTGCAAATTCAGTTTAAATGGAATGTCAGGCGGGGTTATTCCATTTTGCACATCATCGCCACTAACAACAAGTTGGCAGGCTACGTTAAATCAAATACACCCATGTATTCCCATTGTTTTCAGATTATTTTCTTGGTGATACCTATGGGTTTGCCTAGGTGTAAGTAATTGGAATTTAGTGAATTATCTGTTGATGATGCACAAGAAGAAATAGAATCCAGCTTGTCTTCTGTTAACTGTGTTTGCTCTACAGGGCCAGCAGGAGTAAAAACCAATAAAACAACTGATTTTCATCACTCAACGACTATGAATGAGGACACACAAGGAGCAGATCTGTTGTGTAAAAAGATGCCAATTTACATAGCCACTTTTCAGTGTAGAACCACACTGTAGGGCTGGGTGACGACAGCTGAGTACATTTGAAAAAAGATGCTTCAAGTTCCTATGGCAGGGCTTCAGGTGTCTCTAGCAACATTGGAAAATAGCCCTGACTGATCCACACATGGACTGGCATTCATGTTGCCTTCATCCTCCTGTGAGGTATCAGTGAGGTCTTTGGGTGGGAAAGAGCCATGATAAGTAGTTGTACAAATAATATTTTGTAAATGATTTCATAAACATAAAAGCACATGCTATTTTAAAATGCCTCCCTAATCCATTTTGTTTCTCTCCTGCTCCAAATTTAAACAAGACCCTTTGTCAATGAGGTATTGTTACAAATATTACAAAAACAGGGACCCAGGTGAAACCAATTGGCTTAGTCTCATTTCAGCTAAGATGGAGGTGTTTGGCAAGGGAAAGTGTTTTTAGGAACTCAGTTGAGGCGATCTGCTCACTTATTCTCAAAATGGTTCTCAGTCAAGGAGTTTTACTGGACTCATTGCTCCCATATAGCAACAGTGGCCAAAAACACCTTCTGTTATCTACAGCTGGTCAAGAGACTGCATCAAAGGTAGACTTTGTCGTGACACTCAGGACCTTCTTCACCTCAGGGCTATGCTAATTTGCTATGCTTGGGAGTCACTTGGAAGTTTCAGCTAGTGCAGAATGTGGCATGCCTGCCTTATGTGAAGGACAGACCGCTTAGACCATATTACATCAGTCTTGTGTGTCATTCATTTGCTGTCAGTTAAAGGTGCTGGCTGCCATCACGAAAGCCATATGTGGTCAATCTCCAGAGATCAGCTCTGCCCCTATGCCTCATCATAGCACCTACTTACAGAAGGGACACTTTGCCTATCTGACCCCAAAAGTAGAGCTCACATTAACTGGTGGTAGGATGATGTCAGTAGTGGAGCTTCAGCTCTGGAATGTGTTCCCGTCAAAAATCTGAACCAGAACCCTTTTGCAGTGTGATGTGTTGTAAATCTTTATGCTCAAGCTTTGTAGGTACAGTTGAGTCCCCTGGCTAGTAGTCTGCCATCCTTAGTCCTTTCAAGGGAGTTAGTTTGGCTGCTGCAATATGCTGAGAAGTGTTCACTTCCCATTTTGGGGTAGGTGATACTTCTGTTGATCTAAGTGATGCAAAGTGCGCTACGTAGAGTATGGAGATGGGCATCTTATAAATGTAGGTAATAGTCAATAATAATTTTTTTTTAAACCTAGCGCACCAAACTAAGCACTTCACCCTGGGGAGCTCCATTGACCTCCTTGTGCACAGTGTGTAAGTCATTGCTGTATTTTGTCTATAATTTTCCAAGTATTGCAGTTAAAAGGAAACACTGCTTCTTTAATTAAACAGAGAACACAATTCAGGCTGATGTGAAAATGCTGACCCAAATTTACATGAATCATAAATAAACTCATGGGAGCGTGTATGACTTGGTTAGATGCCAAAGTATGGCCATCACTATTTTATTTGAATATTACAAGACTGTACAGTCAGTTAGAGAAAGGCAGTCCATTTAAAATGTCGCTCTGTATTCTTTGATTTATCCCTACGTAACAAATATCTGGAATAACGGACTGCCCACATTGTTTGTCCAACTGTATAATTGTAGGGGAGTAGCAGAGTTATGAAGAATGCAGCTGTTCCTTGAAATTGCAAAAATGACCCCAGTCATTAAAGTAATAGTACCTGTCAATGTATTGAAAATACCATTTTATGATTGATTCTCGCATCATTGCTGTACAGATTAGGAGCTGCAGATGGAGTGTTCAAGTAAGGTGGACAGTGAAGAGCATGGAGTCTGAGTGACAGGGTGTAGATGTCTTAGGTGTTACCTTGGGATGATACTCCCAATCTAGTTTAGTAGAAAGGAACCTGCCTACTTTAAAAGCTTCTTCTCCGGCTGCTCTTCTTTAGGAAGGGCTAGTTACTTTTGAAGCAACCTAGCATTACTAATTTGGATTGTTCTCTGGAAGGATGACCGAGAAAAGCCTGCTTAATTTCTTTGCCAGATACCAAATGAAATCTAGGTCTTTTCTAACTGCTTCGAAGTAAATTTGAACATAGTGGTGTTTTCTGTTTCTATAAACATTATTTATTTTTCAATTATTTCATGACGTTCGTTATTGATTTAAACAATTATCCTGCTCCATCCCTTCTAAACAAAACTAGGGAACCTAAATTGTGCCTACTGGAACTAGTGTTTTACTTAGTAAAAGGTAAGTAATTAGGTCTGGTGTTGCCACTAAGGCTTGATAGTTAGTAAAAAACAGGGAAACATTACAGGTAATAACACATTTGGTGTTTTCATATCAGAGGGCCAGTTTGTGATTAGTTAAGTATTGTCCTGTTTCTGGAACTGTGTGAGGCAATACTTCCCCTACAGGAGCACTAGGATATCTCCATGAGTGCTATGCCACTGCTGAGAAGCACAGCTGCTTTGATCTCTCTTGGGATGGTATATAGTGCATATCCCTTCTGTGACTGTTCATGTCTGCTGGCTGGTGGAAAACAGTATGGTGGTGGAGGGTGGCAATGCCCTATCTATTCCCTGCCCCTTCTGCAGTGAATTGCACTCCATGGGCATTTCAGGAAATAGATCCTACACTCAGGAGATCGCTGGCACTGTCAGTTTTGCTGTTCAGGAATGCAAGTCAGGGGGAAGCTCCTTGCACACACACCCCTGCACCTGTACAAGGGCAAGCCGGTGACCCAAAGTGCCCTTTCAGTGTGAAGGCTTATGAGTTTACCTTTATTTAAAAACACTAACTTTGAAAAATATAGAAGAATGTGAAAATGCAAAGAAACTGGATGAACATCCAAGCAACTTAATTTTTCTGTTCCCCTTTTCCTTGCAGTTGTAATTGATTCAATTTACAAAGTGACAGAAGGCCGACAGTCTGAAATATTCCATCGCCATACCGAGGGGAACTTTGACCCAAGTTGCTGCTTTACCATTTACCATGGTAACCACATGGAGTCACTAGACCTGATCACCTCTAATCCAGAGGAGGCTCGCACCTGGATCACAGGACTTAAGTATTTGATGGCTGGAATAAGTGATGAGGATTCTCTTGCTAAACGACAAAGAACTCATGATCAATATCCTTTCAAGGACATTAGCTCTGGCTTTCATTTAGGTATTTCTGGTTTGTTTTATGTGGTTTGGTGTTATGGGTACACTCCACCTCCCACTCGGGACAACTGAAGTTTTGCCATTGATTGCATTGGGAACAAATCAGGTCACTGGTTTGTAAAATTATTGTTACAAATTGGGAATATTTTTAAATTTTGCCACTGGCTTTGTATAATTTTTGAAAAGTTTTTCATTTCCTAAAATCAGCAGTTGGAAAACTGATCTTTATTTTCATCTTTGTACAAAGTTAGGGACTGACTGAAACTCTTGAGGCGCTCAACATGATCAGTCTGCATTGAGGGTGCTCAGCACATCTCAGCAGATGCTCACATCTTACAGGAGTGGAGAGGGTTTCATTTTAAAGGAAAGATCATGTTAACTTTAAATCACAATGAGACATCTAGGAGATTGTGGAGATTGAGGCTACCAGCTGGGGAAGGATGGAGGGAAACGGATAAGGAGTGGAAGAGTCAGTTGTTGATGATAAATCACAGAAAACTGCATTCAAATAACATTAAACCTATAAGACAGAAATATACAGGTGATGGTAAAATTTACATAGTCACAGTGGAGCTGTTTCTAGATGTTTTTGATTAAATGTTTTGGGTTTTCTTGTTAAAAAAGTGACTTCACTGACTAAAAAATGTTTCATTTTCCAAAAATATTTCAAAACAAGAAATGTTTGAGGAAAAAACACAACATTTTAAATTTTTTCATGTGGAAAATGCTTACCTCTTAGTTTTATACTTTTCCCCGCTCCGTTTCCTCTAGAAAAATGGAGGGAAAGTTTTTTAAAATGTTAAAAAGTGAAAGAAAGTAACCTTCACTTTTAAAAGTACACTTTCTCTAAGTGAGAGAAAATTATGCAAAGTAACACTTGGACTTTTTTTCCAATGGGAAAAAAAAATTAAAAAATTAGATTTTTTTTCTTCTTCACACAGTCTCATTATTTTATTGAGCTATCCCTTTCTCCAAAATGAAAATGTTTTCAAAAATTTGTCAAACAAAAATACAATCACTTCATTTTGTTTGTTTGTTCTTAATTGGAAATCTCCCCCCCTCAAACCCTAGTTTTGACCAGCGTTCCTTGTTTGCTTTGCACTTTGATTATAGGAGTAAGTTGGATAAACAAAGGAAGGACAAAAGGTCCAATCCTGCTTGGCTACTCTTATGAATATTACTATAATTTATTATTTGTGTAGTGCCATTGGTCTCCAAGGCTCGTCACAGACATGTTGTAAGAGAAGGTGCCGGCCTCAGAGAGTTGACAATCTAACGTTGAAAGTAATGCAAGCTGGGTTGCTTCAGTGTGACATGCATTTTGCTAGCTCCAGGGCTTTTTGTTTCATATTATTAATTTTTAAATCGGTTATAAAAGAAGATAATGAGGTGGTGCATGAGAGCAGGAGTGCATGCTAGTGGTGAATATCTAGTAGAAAGAAGTGAGGATGTAGGGTCTGATCCAATGAGAAGACTCCCCTTGACTTCAAAGAGCTTTGAATCAGACTTTTAGGTTTTAGACTTAAGCGTTTTCGACTTATGCAGGTATGTAAGCTGTGATCACGATGCCCCCAATTCAGGGAAACACTTAAGAACATGACTAACTTTATGCATGTACGTAGTCAGTGTTTTCTTTGAAGCTCGTGCTCTAATCATGAAGAGCCATTTTAGTGATCAGAATGTTATTTATGTAAGTCTGCCTTGTGAAACACTCTTGCCTAGTGCTGCAGTCGGAGAACACATCTGCCTTGTGTATCTGCTAAAGCAGACAGCACTTGCCTCCTGCCTAATACCTAGATTGAGGACCAAATTGTGCCTGCTAGGCACTAGACTGTAAGGGCTAGGATGCGCCACACAAGTCTAGAGTAGCACCGAGAGAGGGATTGTGTATCAGGGAGCACCCTCCTTCCCTGAACTCCACAGCGCATATAGATTACATGTGGACATAGGACCGTGCAGCTTATTTCCCCCAAGTATGTCTGACTCCCTCTGCAGTGACGGTGGGGTGGGATGGGGAGGAAAGGTTGGGAATGAAAGAGAAAGGAAATATATAGAGGGTGAAGGCAACATGATTAGAGGGGAGAGGAGACCTAAGGAGATGGGTTTACGTTAAGAATGTGATGGCGGAATGGAGAAGAAGCTTTCAGAAGAAGGAAGAATTGAAAATATAAAGGTGAAATAGCAGCATGAAGAAACTAAAGCTTAAACTTAGAGGAGAGAGAGGATGGAAAAACAAGAGCTGTTAATTTTTTAATAAGGGTCTTATTGAAATTGCAGTCTTGTAGTTATCTGCTTAGACTAATTTCACTGTGTGTCATCTTTATTCCATGCTCTAGCACTAAATGAATTTTGTCACTGATACACATGCTCATTGAGCAAGACTCCTGGTGGTACACATCATGAGCCAAATACATCCCTGGACTGGCTCCAATGACTTCATAATTCTGATCCCAGTTACACCAGTGTAAATCTGGAATAACTCAATGGAAATCAAGAGAGTTACACTAATGTGTACACTAATGCTGTGAGGTCAGCATCTGCTCTATTGACTCCAGAGAAATTACACCAGGGGTGAATTTATCCCGGAGTGTTGAAGTGGACACAGTTTTGATGCAAACTGTGGGCCATATTCTATTACTTTGGGACAAATTTTGCCACCGTTACTTATATTGTGGGACTGATTGGTATATGTCATATTTGGCAAGGCTGGCAGAACCTGGCCCTTTGTAATTCTCCAAGATAAAAACATTCATTTTAAGTAGTTTAACCTTTCCTTAGTATATTTGCACCTGGGTGAAACAGACCTTTGAGGAAGCTGATAAGAACGGAGATGGCTTGTTGAATATTGAAGAGATCCACCAGTTGATGCATAAACTGAATGTCAATCTGCCCCGCAGAAAAGTGCGACAGATGTTCCAGGTCAGTGTACTTTTCACACAGTGCAATATTTTGTTTGTAAATGCATATTGCCTTCTTGGAGAAAAGCTTGAGGTTACTGACAAAAGTGGGTATTTTTAAAGATTAATGAGCAAACAGTTCCATTTCATTGTTGTTATGTAAGTGAAGAGGAGGAGAGAACATTGTGCTATGTGATTTCACCCTTTAGCTCTAGCTAGGTTGTTGACATTGGGCAAAAGCCCCCAGGCAAGGAATATTCACAGCTGATTAATTACAGTCTTGATAGAAAAGTTGTATTATTTTGAGGTACGTGTCTCTCACTGTATGCCATTCCATAAGTAGTTTATTTGAAATTAATGGTCCTACTTATGTAGTAAAGTACTTCTGAATGTGAACAGGGGTGGCAGAATGAAGTCTTCAGTTAGGTTTTCAACATTACTCCACCCCCTCGCCTGTCTTCCAAAAACCAATGTCTCATTAACAGTAAGAGAAAACCCGTGTGTAGTGAGTAAGGGGAGCAAGAGGTTGAAAAGGGAGTTGGAAGAGGCAAGGAGGAGGTGGGATCATGATGCAGAGAGAACAGTCTCCCTATTCTAATGCATGGAGCAGATTGCATTCAACACGCATGCCCAGAGGAGCCCAACCGGAGATTTTGCCTGCCTGAGGCACAATCTCCCCAATGCGTAAATCCAAGCACCCAGGGCTGTGGCATAGGTGCCATGATTCATAGATTATAAGGCCAGAAAGGACCATTGTGGTCAGGACTTCCCTGGATTCCTGTTTGAACTAGAGGATTTATCTAGCCCTTAATGAATTAAGTGGCCTCACAAACACCTGTGAGGTAGGTAAATATTATTTGCATTTTACAGACGGACAAAATAAGGTGCTGAGAGGTGAAGTAATTTGCCCAGGGTCAGACAGTGAATCCATTGGACACTAGACTATTAGGGGGCAGCATGGAGCATCCATTGGGAAGCCAGAAATAGAATCCAGGAGTTGGAACTTCTAAGTTCCCTGTCCTCTCTTGTAGCCCACAGAATTTCTCTTGGTGCATGTTGCTTGCACTGTATCACTTTTAACTTCATATAGATATACATACCTCATGATGAAGGGCCCAGCACACACAAACTGTAGGAAGAACACACAGTTTGGGGCACCATTTGTTCTCATCATTCTGTACCTAAATTTGCTCTTACCCTAGTGTAAATGCAAAGTGGATCTGCTACCTAATATAGAAGTGCTTGAAATTTTTTTCATAGAAGGAAATGACAATTTTTGCAGAAACTTCTGTTTTTAAATTAAAGTTACCAGAACTGATTTTTTTTTCACTTTGAAATTTTCTGAGAATATATTTACCATTGTTTGACCATCCCTAATATTTACACAATTGGAAATGAAAGATGCTAAAGATGTATTGGATACAGCAAGAGCAAAACAAAATGCAAAAACCAAAATTATGGGCCAAAATCCAGACCACTGCACAAAACAGAAGTTGTTTAAGATCCTAGAACCCAAAAATGTGCCTGATCTTCTGGGGTACAATCAGCATTGCACAACTGTAAGCCTTGGAATGCATAGTACGCGCCATGGCTGTGCAAAGCCTGGGAAACTTATGGCCTAGCTAGCAGATATAGAGAAAATTTAGACTGAATTGTGCCCCCAAATCATAAATCATCTTTGGGTATGTGTAGACTTTAAAATGAGCAAACAAATCCTAATTGTTACCTTGTAAAAATGTAAAAATCATTTCCTTCTCCACTTACGTGCTAAGATCTGAGTTTATGGATTTAGATGGCAGCAACACTAACTCCTAACATAGTGTAATATAGGGATTCTCAAACTTCATTGCTCTGCAACCCCCCTTCTGACAACAAAAATTACTACATGACCCCAGGAGGGGGGGCCGAAGCCTGAGCCTGCCTGAGCACCGCCCCGGGGGCGGGGGCTGGAGGTGTGGGGGAGCCAAAGCCTGAGCCCCACCACCTTGGGTGCGGAAGGGATCAAAACCGAAGCCAAATGACCTTCGCTCCAGCCAGGGGGCCTGTAACCTGATCCCTGCCATCCAGGGCTGAATCCCTCCAGCTTGGCTTGGGCCCTGAGCAGCAGGGCCGGCTTTAGGAAGTGCGGGGCCCAATTCGAACATTTTCGGCAGGGCCCCAGCAGGGATGACTAAAAAAAATAAAACACATAAAAAAACCCCCTTTCATTTCTTCCATGTATTATTTACTTTCCATAACTATATAAATAATAACAAAATTATATATTACGTACATTGCTGGCTGGAGGCAGGGCAGGGGCTGTCTGGCGGTAGAGTCTGGCTGGAGGCAGGGCAGGGGTAGGGTTACCATTCGTCCGGATTTACCCGGACATG